AGGGATGACCATCGCCATTCTTACTCGGGCCAGTCTGAAGAGGCGACGGGGTCGCCGAAAGCTCACCGAGATCGCCTGAAAAAGTGAGCTCCCCGCAGTACAAACTCGAGATCAACCCGACCTGTCTGGCTGAAGCTCTGGGGAGGCTGCAACACCGCTCAACGATGTGCTGTTTAACCGAACCGGCAGGGTGGGCCCTTTCCCGAGTCCGTGCTTCGGTGCGGATCGTCTGCGCGCCTCGTCTCCGTCGTCGTCGTCGTTGGCGTGGTGCGTGTTGCTCTGCTCGGGGCTTGCTTCCCTAATGCAATGGCCACCGCCGACCCGTTGCGCTGTGCCGGAACCTCGGCGTCCTCATGGCGCGGGGCGGTGGGGTCGCTCCAGGGGGCGCCGCGACTGCCTTGTGCCGCTGGCCCCCCAAGGCTCTAGACCCCTTCCCCAGGGATCCTGTCTTATGGCCAGGATGCACCACGGTAGAGGGAAACACTTAGTGAACACCCCCCCCTGGCCCATAAACACAAAGTTGGCACACGCGGCGCGGGAGACTGCGGCCGAGGTGCAACTCATCAGACCCACCGCCAACTTTGAACATTGGGGGGAGGGGGAGGCGTTCACATATGAATGTGGCATGAGTGTTCGCTATTTTTTCCGAGGCCTGCAGTTTTAGGTCGGGCACGTCCTCCTACAGGCGGATTTTGGAGGAAAAACAAAACATGGTCAACAAATGCACAAACATAGTCGAACATGATAGAACCATCGTCCCCCGACTATTTTTTGACCACTTTTGAATATTCCTCGTGTAGAGGGACAGGCCCGACTTACGTAACCCCAAGGCTGTCAACCCCGTCTCCGGGGATCGTGTCTTAGAGCCCGGGTGGTGCACCAGTTTTAGGTCGGGCATGTCCTCCTACAGGCGGATTTGGGAGGAAAACGAAACATGGTCAAAACATGTTCAACAAAAAAAACAATTATACAAACAATCCAAACAATGGATGGTTTTCGCTGAGGGGGTCGACCGGGAACCTGGGAGCCCAAGAACCCAGAACCCACCGAAATCGGCCCGGAACCAACAACCGGGAACCCAAGAACCCGGAACCAGGAACCCCGGAACCCAGCCTGCTACCATAATCGGCAGGAAACTTTCGCCAAATCTTTCAACTTCCGCTAGGACCCCTTCAGTGCAAGCACTGGCAGGGGAATGACAGAAAAATCGCCCGCGGGCGATAATAAAACATACTCCCCCTGTTCCCCCTCTATCTTTTATCCCCGTGTGTGGAGATAGGCGCGGAGGCCGACCATGAGAATCCACCGGGGAAGTTGCGAATCGAAGTTGCGATCATCCCATGTTGACTAGCAACAGCATCAGCAAATCGTCCCCCGGCAATTTTTGAACATTTTTGCGTATCCCTCTTAACACCAGTTTTATGTCGGGCCTGTCCCCCAACAGGGGGATTTTCGACGAAAAAAAACAAAAACAAAAAAAAAAACCAAACATAGTCTGGGGACTATTCTTTGTGTATTTTTGAGCCGCTTTGTTGCATTATTATGGGTATTTCTTATTTTCCATCGAAAATCCCCGACATAGCACCAGTTTCTGGTGCCCGAGGCCGCCTGCGCCCAACCCCCCCCCCTTCGCAGAAGACCCTCCACGCCTGCAGCCTCCTCCCGCGCTCCTCCTCCGCGGCCCCCCTCCTCCCCCTCCTCCTCCTCCTCCTCCTCCTCCTCCTCCGCCTTCTTTCTCCTCCTCCTCCTCCTCCTCCTCCGCCTCCTTTCTCCTCCTCCTCTCCTCCTCCTCTCCTCCTCCTCCCTCCTCCTCCTCCTCCTCCTCCTCCTCCTCCTCCTCCTCCTCCACAGCTTCCTCGTGCTCCATCGCGGCCCGCGGGCTCTCTTCCCGGACCCCCCCCGGGCGTCCGCCCCTAGCTGCTTGCCGAGAGCCGGCCGCCCCGACGAAGACGGAAGGGGCCCAGGAACACACGAAGAAATACACACACAACACACAACACACAACACACAACACATAACACACAACACACAACACACAACACACAACACACAACACACAACACACAACACACACCACACACCACACAACACACACCACACAACACACAACACACAACACACAACACACAACACACAACACACAACATACAACACACAACACACACACACACATCCCAATGTTCCCCCTGTTCTTCTCCAATCTTTTCTGGGAGTTTGCCTTCCCCCCCACTTCCCATATTTTCCCATATTTTCCCATCTTTTCCGTGGAATCGACGATTCATTGTGTCTGTGTGTGTGTTTTCGCCTCCTGAAGAACTTAGGTCGGGCATGTCCTCCTGCAGGCGGGTTTTGGACGAAGAATGAAACATACTCCAAATTATTCAATTACACCAGAGGAAAAACCCAATCAATGGATGGTTTGATCGATAAGGAGATCGACCGGGAACCCAGGAACCCAGAAGCCACCGAAATCAGCCCGGAACCAATAACCAGGAACCCGTGAACCCAGAACCGGGAGCCCGGGAACCCAATCGGCCACCAAAATCGATGGGGAACTTTCGCCAAACCTTCAACTTCCGCTAGGGCCCCGGCAGTGCAAGCGCGCCGATTGGGGAACATATATTTGAACAAGTGCTGCAAACATCGCCCCCAGACTATTTTAGAACTATTTTTGGATATTCCCCCAGTAGAGGGGCACGCCCGACTTGATGCTTGTCAAGAGCCTCACACCCCGACCAAGACATCGGGCGCTTCGCTTTCTTCGACGCCCACGGGCGCCCGACCTCTCGACCACGTCCAAGGGGCCCGTTGCTCCCCATCCCGGCCCGCTCCTGAGCGCAAGTTTTATTGGAAACCGCACAAGGCGCGCATGACGTGGCTGGGTACTCCAGACTTCGTAATAAGAGGGAGGGGGTCTGGACCCCCCAAGACAAGCCATTTCGGACCCCCCCTCGTGGGAGAACCCTCCAAAACATCGTCCCCAGACCACCCCAGGCCCTCCAAGATAGCTTGGAAAAGACCCCCCCCGAAATGAGACCCCCCTCCCTTTATTACGAAATCTGGAGTAGGTGGGTGGGCTCGCTGGCACATCACAGCACACGTTGCGCGAGCACTACGGACAGCATACCTGCGCGCTAAACAGCAGGCGCTGCTGCCACGGGGGTGGGTGAAGCGGAGGGCGTTCTGTCATCTACTGGGTGGGTGGGTGGGTTGGGGGCCACATGACGAGCGCAATGTGCTCGAGCTGAAAAACACATTCCGCTCCCTTGACGTTCCCGAGGCCTGGCGAAGGCCCCGAGAGGCCGAACGCGATGAGAAGCCGCCGTCTCGATTCGGGGAACTGCTGACCCGGGCCGATGAGCACCCGGGTCAGCAGGAAACCAACCATTGCAACGCAGGAGCACAAACAAACTGCAGCGCAGGGCTTCGCAGAAACCCGGGTCGGCCAATACGGGCGCGGCCCATCCTCGCGGCGCCGCGAGCGGCCCGCTCTCCCCGGGTGTCGGCCAGAGGGACTCTTCGCGGGACCCTGCAGGATCTGGTGCCCTGGCTGACCCGTCTCTCTGAGCCCCGAACGATCTCTGGCCATCGCTCGGACGTCCATTCCCTGTGCCTTTTTCGGCTGCGCGCGTGGTCTTCTCGCCAAATGGTCCAAGGATGCTCCTCGATGGTCCTCGCCGAAGGAAGAGTGCACACGTCCGAGCGATGCCAAGCTCCTTTTTTGTTCGAGACGCCGGACGCCTGGGCCCCGAGCCGCTCCGCAACCCTGGCAGGGGGGGCGGCGAGACACCGCCGCCCATGCTGCTCGTCGGTGCGCGGCGGCGGCCGCCCGGCCGGGGTAGGGCGGCGGGGGGGGGCCCGAGAGCTAGGTCAGGCACGTCCCCCTACAGGCGGATTTTCAGGGAAAAATCAAAATGAGTCAAATCATACATATGCGCACATATTTACACATATATATATATATATATATATATATATATATATCCAAGCGAACATGCATGCATGCATGCATGCATGCATGCAAACGTACATATATACGTACATACTTACTTACTTACTTACTTACATACATACATACATACATACACACATACATGCATACACTCATACAGACATACATATTTACATCTATACATTCATACATGCAGCCGTACATACATACCTACACACACCTACATACATACCTACATACATACATACAAACATCCATACATGCATGCGCATACATACATACAAACATACACACATACATACATACAAACATACATGCATACATACATACACACATACAAACATACATTTGCACACATACATCCATCCATCCATACATACATACATACATACATACATACATACATATATATGCATACATACATGTATACATACATACATACATGCAGACAAACATACATACATATATATATATATACATATTTACACACATACACACATACATACATACATACATACATACATACATACATGCATACGTACATGCAATTATGTATGCATGCATGCATACATATATACGTACATACATGCATACAAACATGCATACATACATACATGCATGCATGCATACATACATTCATGCACACATACATAATGCCGACTATGCTCAAACATCGTCCCCGGATTATTATGTGACTACTCTTGAATAGTATTCCTCCTGTAGAGGTATTAAACAACTATCTTCGAACATGCTTCCAAAATCGACATCGTCCCCAGAGTATCTTGTGACCGTTTTTGGCTACAATCAACCCGTATAGTAAGGATGCGCGATACGGATGCAAGGGCCTTGCACGCCCATTTCGAAGTTTTTCGAGCGGGGCGCGGCCGACGAACGCGGCGAAGAATGGACCCAGGAGGCAAGGATGCAAGGGTACCCTTGGGAAGGCTGCCCATCCTTGCTATACTGGTTGCCTGTATCCTGTGACTGCTTCTTGCTATTCCTCCCGCAGAGGGACAGGCCCGGCGTAGACCGAGAGCGCGGGCGGGGCCTTGGGCGTCGCCCCCGCCTTCGCCCGGTGCGCCCGCAGCCAGGGCCCCTGCCCGGGAAGGGCGCGCGGGGCTGCCGGGGAACGCCGGGGAGGGGTGGGACCGTACATGGACATGATATTCGAACCCTGTGGCCCAGCATGCCCCCCCAGACCCCCCGAAATTAGTATGGATGGCGTGGCGACGGGGGGGGCGTGAGTGGACAGGAATACTCGAACCCCAAAGCACCGCCTGTACTGAGATCAACATTGACGTCGGGGGCGCGGGGGTGATTTAGAATCTCCCTCGAATGTGTAAGGCTCCGAATCTATTGTCCATCTACTGGAGGGTGTTGGAGGCCTGGAAATTGGCACCAACGCCAGCACAGGGGGTCGCCTCCACATGGGGAAGATGATCCTAGATTTCGGTGCTGGTGGTAGTATTTCGGTCACCTTGGAAGCCAGAATCTTACCACCATCACCGAGATCGGGATCGTCTTCCCTCGTTGGAGGCACACCGCAGATCTTGGTGTTGGTGTCAACCTCTACGACTGCGAGGGTGCGACGCGAGGCGGAATGAAGTGGTCGGGGCGGGGAAGCACTGGGCGGGGGTTCCACTGGAACGTGAGGGAACGCTGGGGAGGGGGGTGCGACGCGACGCGAAATGAGGAGGTCGGGGCGGAGGGGGCTCTGGGCTGCCGGGGAACGCTGGGGGGGGGCGGCGGGGGCGGGGATGGGAGGTGCGACGCGACGCGGAATGTAATGGTCGGGGCTTGGGGGGCACTGGGGGAGGGCTCCTCATGGCAGTGCGCCGCCCTGGAAGGACGGGGCGGAGGCCACACGGAGAAAGGACCGAGGCTGGGCACCCCGTGCGGACGTACTCCGCGCGGACTCACTGCCCCAGCAGGGGGAGGCAGAGGAGGAGGCAGAGGAGGAGACAGAGGAGGAGGAGGAGGAGGAGGAGGAGGGAGGAGGAGGAGGAGGAGGCGAAGGATGAGGAGGAGGAGGAGGAGGAGGAGGAGGAGGAGGGAGGAGGAGGACGGAGGAGGAGGAGGAGGAGGAGAAGGAAGTCCAGACGGGGTAAGCCCCGACGGAGGCCGAGCACTGCGCACGAGCTTCCTTCGTGCGGGGAGCCCTCGCTGATGGCATGCCGCCTCGGCGGCCCGGGCGACGCGCGATGCCTTGCAGGCGGGTGGCGTGTCGCTCCGCTTCGCGGGGCGGGAGGCTCGGACCAGCTCGGGACGCTGCCGCGCTGGGACTGGGAGGCGGAGGTCGTGTCAAGCCGAAGCGCGGCGGGCCAGAACTGGTGGCGCGACGCTATCCAAAAGTTACGGACCGTATCCGGCAGTCGCGTACGATGCATGAGCTTGCTATGATGATTCCTCGTTTTTTCCCAGCGGCATCTTGGGAGAGGCGGGAGGACAACCGAGGGCAATGCTGGCGCCAAAGACGTGTGCTCCAAATCTTTTGTTAATCGTCCCCCGGGTCCGTCCGGTTTTTTAAGGCGCCTTATTTGTAACTGGGAGGGTCCGGCTTATTAGGGCGCTTTCTTTGGATTGGAGCTTAGGGCGTCCAGCCTATCAAGGCGCCCTGTCGAAGAGGGGGGGTCCAGAATGTCAGGTCGCATTTGGAAGGGGGTCCGGTTTTTTAGGGGGGGTCGATTAATCAAAAATAATACCGAGCGTTATGTCGCTCCCATCGTACTTAAGGACCACATCCCAGAAATGATTTCGAGCACCCGGAAGAGTGTCGAAAGAGTGTCTCCCAGGGCCGACACGTGGAAATCCTCGTGGTTTGCGGTAGCTTCTTGGTGCTCGAGCTTCATTGTCGTGATCCAGGCTGAAGCAGGCTGGAACATCATAAACCGAGCGTGTCCTGGCAACATGGCCGATCCGCGGCCCACGGAGGCCGTGGAGTGCCGCAGTGCGGGGCTGGCCGGGTGCTCTTGCCATGGGCGATCGCGGGGCGCTCTCCCTCCGTCGACCCCCGGGGCTCGGCGGCCCCAGCGGGCGAGGCGACATCATCCCCGGGCGCCCGTCGGCAGGCCGGTCTCCCACTTGCTGCGTCCACTGCGGGAGGAGGAGGAGGAGGAGGAGGAGGAGGAGGAGGAGGAGGAGGAGGAGGAGGAGGAGGAGGAGGAGGAGGAGGAGGGAGGAGGAGGAGGAGGAGGAGGAGGGAGGAGGAGGACGGGGAGGAGGAGGAGGAGGGAGGAGGAGGAGAAGAAAGAGGAGGACCAGGAGGAGGAAGGGAAGAGAAGAAGGAGGAGGAGGAGAGGGAGGGAGGAGGAACGGCATTTGGTAAGCAGGTGCCTCCAACGAGTCGAGGAGTGGGTGGGAAACGAACGGGGAGTGAAGAAACCCGCGGTGGCGGTTCAGAAGCCGTCCGAGGCCACTCTCGTACGATCCTCGATCTCCTGAGCCCCGGTTGCTGCCCCCCCCGCTGCCAAGCGCCCAAACCTCGCTCGTCCTGGCCCTCGTCACCTGTCTGGCTCACCTCAAGCGCACGCTTCGCGGTCTCGCGGCACTGCCTTCCTCTGAAGCCCGCTCGAGCGCAACCGGCGGAATCTTCTGTGAGCCCATCTGGGAGGGTAGTAAGGCCATGATGCAATTGGCTCAGGATATGCTCCAGAAAGTCTGGAGCCTCTAGCTGCCCTCGGCCATTCGTCTGTGGCCGCTCGGGACAACAAGACAACCTAGAAATCTTGAGACATGTCTTGATCATGATTTCTTGCTCCTCTGACCGTCTTCATTTGCAACCCCTGCCCTGCGAACGGCCAAGCAGGGCGCAGCACTGCCCTGAGCTGGCCCGATATGCCTCGTGCGCTCGTCGCCGCGCCTCTGCGGCCACACCGCCGCGCGCATGACTCGTTGAGACTCACGCGCAAGACCGACCTAGGATTATGTTGTTCCCATCGTACTGAAGGACCACATCACAGAAATGATTTTGAGCATCCAGAAACGTGTCGAGACAATGTCGAACGAGTATCGCCTCCCAGGGCCCGACACGTGAAAACTCTCCAGTTTCGGTACTTCCTTGGCGCACGAAGTTCTTTTTGGTGCTCAAGGCTCAAGCAGGTTGGAACACCATGAACCTAGGACAGCTCGGATCACACCGTGAGGCTCACATCGGTCTCGCAGCCGATGGGGCATCAAGGGCAGCGCAGCTGTGTGCTGCCTTCGCGACCTGCGCTGGAGACGAAACCACCTGAGGCATGGCCATCATTTGCACATTGGCTGAACATTCTGCACACGTCGTTCATTCCTAATCGTGCTCATTTCTAATTGTGCTCGTTTCTATTTGTTCCTGGTCCCCTGGTGGCCAGGAAGAGACCCAGGATAGAACAATTCGAAATGACAGGATCTTGGACCCCTAGAAAATCAAAGCCCCTCCGAATAATTAGAAATGAGCAACATGTACGCCCATTCGCACGAGGACGGTAAGTCTTGACGGTGAATCATGGTGAAGGCAGGGGGGCACTGCGGCAGGAGAAACATCAGAAGAAGCGAAGGCAAGGACGGCAGAACGGGCGAGAGTGCAACATAATCCTGCCGTGCAAGAAGAGAAGAGTCTGCAGCGTCTGCGATTGCTCCTGGCCATCATCCTCGAGCACTCGCGGCACGCACATACATCCTGTCACCCCGAGCGCCTTGAGGTGGTCAATAAGCCAAGACACGAAGCCCGAGGTCTCGTCCTTCAGGAACCCCTCGAGCTCTCTGTGCACCTCATTTGAGGGGCCGGGATTCTTCTTTGCCTCCTGATCGCCTCTGCTCCTCCTTCCTCCTTCCTCCCCCTCCTTCTTCATTCCTCCTTCGTCCCACCTCCAGCCAAACCTTCTTCTCTCCCTCCTCCTTATCCCCTCGCTTCCCTCCCCTTCCTCCTCTCTTCTCCCTCCACCTCGTGCTCCTTCGCCTTATCCTCCTCCTCCTGCTCCTCCTCCTCCTGATCCCTCCATCGCCTCTACCTCCTCCTCCTCCTCCTCTTCCCTCCTCCTCCTCCTCCTCCTCCTCTTCCTCATCCTCTTTCTCCTCCTCCTTTTTCCGTTCTCTCTCTTTCTCTGCCTCCCTGTCTCTCTCTCTCTCTCTCTTTCTTTCTGTCTCTCTCCCGCTGCCTGCCTCTGCCTCTGTTTCTGCCTGCATGCCTCTCTTCCCTCCTCTTCCTCCTCCTCCTCCTCCTTTGCTGCTGCCGCCCGCCTTCGGCAAACGGCCAGGCGCGCCCCCACCCTCGTTCCGCTTCTTCGCTCCAGGTCAGGTGATGGACGGTCGTAGGCTCTCTTCCCCCTTCGCTTCGTGTCCGCTTGCCCTCTTCTCTTGTCCCTTGCTCGCGTCTTGTCCGCACCTCCTCCTCCTCCTCCTCCTCCTCCTCCTCCTCTCCCTCTCCTCCTCTCCTCCTCCCTCCCCTCTCCCCTCCTCCTCCCTCCTCCCTCCTCCCTCCTCCTCTCCCTCCTCCCTCCTCCTCCTCCCTCCTCCCTCCTCCCTCCTCCCTCCTCCTCCGCCTCTCTCCTCTCTCCTCCTCCTCTCCTCCTCCTCCTCCCCCTCCTTCCTCATCCTCATCCTCATTTCCTCATCATCATCAGCGCATCATCATCAGCATCATCAGCATCATCAGCATCATCCTCTCCTCCTCCTTCTCCTCCTCTCATCATCTTTCTCTTCCTCCTCCTCATCTCCTCTTCCTCCTCCTCCTCCTCTCCTCCTCCTCTCATCAGCCTCTCTTCCCTCCCTCTTCCTCCTCCTTCTCCTCCTCTTTCCTCCGCCTCCTCGTCCTCGTCCTCGACCTCCCTCCTCCTCCTCCTCCTCTCCTCCCTCCTCCTCCTCCTCCTCCTCCTCCTTCCCTATCCTCTCCTCTCCCCTTCCCGCCTCTGTTCCCTGCGCCCTCGCCCCACCGACCAGACCGCCCAGCTCGGAAGGCTCCCCCACCTCCCCTCCCCCGCCCGCCCCCCTCCCCCCCCCTCTCTCGCCCGGCGTCTCAGAGATGGGGCCCCGCGGGATGGGGCCACGACAGGGCGCGAGCCAGGAGCAGCGAAGGCTCCGCTCCCGGTCCGCTTCCCGCCCCGACGGCCCCGTCCTCCTCGGGTGCCCCGCCTCCGAACCCGCCGACCTCGCGCCCTCGCCGCTCCCGGGCCTCCGGTGGCCGGCGCATCGCGGAGGAGGAGGAGGAGGAGGAGGAGGAGGAGGAGGAGGAGGAGGAGGAGGAGGAGGAGGAGGAGGGAGATGAGGAGGGAGATGAGGAGGGGGAGAGGATGGGACGGAGGGAGGAGGAGGAGGAGGAGGAGGAGGAGGAGGAGGAGGAGGAGGAGGAGGAGGAGGAGGAGGAGGAGGAGGATCGCCAGAGAGGCCCTTCAGGACGCTCGGAGCTTGCGCCGGGAGCGCCCACGGAGCGACCCGGCGGCGGCACTCCCCAGGGGGGGCAGGCAGGCAGACGGGGCCGGCCACCTCCGGAAGCTCGGGAGGTCTCCTCCGGCCCTGCGCGAGAGGCTCTCCTGGAGGCCTTCCCTGGCACCGCGGAGGGCTGCTCACAGGGCCGGAGGGCTTCCGAGAGGCCTCGCGCGCCTTCTGAGGAGGCCGCCTGCCCCCGCTCGCCTCCCCCCTCGGCTCGCCGCCGAGGGTGATTCGCCGCGTGTCCCCGAGGCCCACTCGAGGGCCCCATGCGGTGAGGAACTTCTGCTTCGCGCGTCGCGGCGGCGGCCCCTGCGACGGGCGGCCGGCAAAGCTCGGAACATGGGTTGATGCTCGGGGGCTGGCGCGCGCTCAGCCTGCATGGTGGGCCAGCGCCAGCGGGGCGACACGCGCAAGCGTTCTACAAGGAATCTCCAATGGGCAGTTTGGGCGGATGATGAGGAGGAGGAAGAGAAAGATGATGAGGAGGAGGAGAAGGAGGAGGATGATGATGCTGATGATGCTGATGATGCTGATGATGATGATGCTGCTGAATGATGAGGATGAGGATGAGGATGAGGATGAGGATGAGGGGGGAGGAGGAGGATGAGGAGGAGGAGGAGGAGGACGGAGAGGAGGAGGGAGGAGGAGGAGGAGGAGGGGGAGGAGGGGAGGAGGGAGGGAGGGGAGGAGGGAGGAGGGAAGGAGGGAGGAGGGAGGAGGAGGAGGGAGGAGGGAGGAGGAGAGGGAGGAGGGAGGACGGGGGGAGGAGGAGGAGGAGGAGGAAGGAGGAGGAGGAGGAGGAGGAGGAGGAGGAGGAGGAGGAGGAGGAGGAGGTGCGGACAAGACGCGAGCAAGGGACAAGAGAAGAGGGCAAGCGGACACGAAGCGAAGGGGGAAGAGAGCCTACGACCGTCCATCACCTGACCTGGAGCGAAGAAGCGGAACGAGGGTGGGGGCGCGCCTGGCTGTTTGCCGAAGGCGGGCGGCAGCAGCAAAGGAGGAGGAGGAGGAGGAGGAGGAGGAGGAGGAGGAGGAGGAGGAGGAGGCGGTGGAGGAGGAGGAGGAGGAAGGAGGAGAGGAGGGAGGAGAGGAGGAGGAGGAGGAGAGAGGGAGGGAGGGACAGAGGGAGAGGACGAGAACAGGGAGGGAGGAGGCGAAAGAAGGATCTATATATATATATATATATAGAGAGAGAGATCCTGATGTTTTTCGTCGTGAGCCTCACGGGGATCCCTCGTCGCCACGGCTGGATTCCCTTGCGAAGTTTTGGCCAGAACGCACCACGGGCACGGTGCCCTGGGCCTCGGGCACCTCGAAGAGACCACGACGGTCGGCTCTCCTGAGCTGGGGCCTCCAGGAGGCGCAGTTCGGGCACCTGGACACTGCTCCTCCTCCTCCTCCTCTCCTCCTTCTTCCTCTCCTCTCCTCTCTCCGCTCCTCCCCCTCCTCCTCCTCCCCCTCTTCCTCCCCTTCCTTCATGCTGCCTCCTCCTCCTGCTCATCCTCCTCGTGCTCGTCTTCCTCCCCCTCCTTTCCTCATCCTTCTTCCTTCTCGGGGCCTCCTGCTCATCCTCCTCGTCGTCCTCCTCCTCCTCTCCTTCCTCTCCTTCCTCCTCCTCCACCTCCTACCTCCATCTCCACTTTCACCTCCACCTCCTCCTCCTCCTCCTCCTCCTCCTCCTCCTCTCTCCTCCTTCCATCCTCCTCCTCCTTGTCCTCCTTCTTGTCTCCGTCCTCCTCCTCCTCCTCCTTCTCCTCCTCCTCTTCCTAGGCGTTTTGGTTCAGGTGTCCTGAGCTTGCAAGATGTGGAAGCACGCACTTCAGAGCGGCTCGTGCTTGCGGGCCAATTCTTTTGGAGAGCGATCAGGCCAGCTGCAGTAGTCTGCTGCAAATGGGCCTACCGCCAGAGGTTCTGCAAGGGCCGCAACTACCTCACTGGAGTTGCAAGTATGGCTGCGATGGCAACTGGGCGTCGCGTGTGGTCTGTCGCTAACGTGACGAGTCAGCACCGCACATGATCGTCCATGCTGCCAAGGCTGCGGCCAAAGCAGCGGCGGTGCCCAAGCACGGCAGTCCACGGCGCGAGCCTCGTGGCAAGTGGGTGCGCGGGGCGCACAGTTCAAGCGAGTCTCTGCTCAAGACCATCAAAGCCCTGGAGATCAAGGTCTCGAAGCTCATTGTCTCTGACGGGCCATCGGGGTCCGACGGCAGCTCGGGCAATCGTGGGCAAGGGAATCGAGGCATCGGCCATCGCGGCAGTTGAAGAGGCTGAGAAGAAGATTACGGTGTTCGAGGTCAAAGCCCCCAAAACGCGCACATCACAGTGGAAGGGGAGAGTATTCGTCCCCAGCTTGGCAAGATGGAGTCGCGTGCTGCAGCGCTGGAGTTGCAGGAGGTGGAGCTGGAGGTCGAGCTCGGTGAGGTCCAGTCCAGAAAGACGACTAGCGAGGTGGAGTTGGGCAACGCCGGGGAGCTGCTCGTCAAGCTTCAAGCGGCAGAGCTCGGCAACACCCTCAAAGCTCCCTCGACCACCCTCGACGTCACCGTTGTCGGGTCGCAGGCGGCCAAAGCTGCGACCGCAGCCCTCCATCGGCTTCAGTCGGAAACCGAGCAGGCCAGGCGTGCTCCGCCCGCTGCCACTGCCACTCCTCCTGGTGACGGTGGGGGTTCAACGCGCAACTGCTGGAGAGACCGACACCCCCGTCGGCCCCAGCGTCGACATCCCTGTCGACAGCGACGACATCAACACAGAGGCGCTGCAGGGAGGCGACCTCGCGCAGCGCCGGGCCGACTTTGCCAAGGCGCTCGGCGATCGCCAGCGAGCTGCGGAAAGCTCAGCCAGCCGAGCAGGAAGCCGCCAAGCGCTTCCGCGCCCGGGCTGCAGCGGCCCTTGGAAGTCAAGCGTGTGCGGCATCTTTGACGGGGGCGAGGTAGGCATGGCCAACATCTGGGAGTTTTGGAACGATAGCAACATCGATCTAGGAGGCCTTCCCTGGGCTCTGCCGTGCCAGCCGGGAGACCTGACCGGAGCATCCGTATCCGGCGGCCACCCCCGAGGCAGCGGCAGGTCCCCTCCCGTTCGCTCTGGCGGCGGAGTCGCCGATAGTCGAGAAGGCGGGTCTACTTCCAACGTTCGGCGGCGCGCCTGGGGGAAGTGAGAAGGGGTGGGTCTTCTCAGAAGGCTCGGAAGTCCACTGGCCTTCTGAACAGTGTTCTAAGCCTTCCCCGAAAACACAGAGAACCTCTCAGAAAGCCCGAGGTCTTTTGAGAAGCCCCGCCTCCTTCTGAGAAGGCCTTCTCTTCCTCACTTCCCCCCCTTGCTCGCCGCCGAAACGTGGGTGGGT